GCCCTGAGGAAAGCCAGGGACGCATCCGGGCCTGGCCTGGCCTCGCTGCGCTCCCATCACCCAGCTGTTTCTGGCCTATGCTGCGTGATGGTGAATTCTCACTGGTGACACAGTTTTTAGGCAGTCCTGCTGCTGCTCCTCTGGCCCCTTGTGTCCTTCAAGCAGCAGGAGGACATGACAGCTCCTTCAGTCCAGCCCCAGCAGTTGTGGGACGCCGAGTTTTCTGTCAGCTGAAGCTTCTGATGGATCACCTTCCAGAGCTGTCTCTGGGATGGGTGTCTTAAAAGAACCAAGTGAGGAACTGAGACTTGAGGAGAATGCAGGTGTGCCCCCAGGACGCAGGCTTTCCCCCTGCTTGTCCCACCATTCCTGCCCCCCAAGAGGGCAGGGGGTGTTCAGCTCTGCTCATTTTTCTCTATGTGAGGTCTCCCCTACCACACTTCAGCCACTCTGGCCTGCCTGGGGAGAGCATGGGTTTAGTTGTTTCTGTCTGGTATGGATTGCCTCCAAGGTGAAGAACTTTAGTGGCTGGTGGATTTTTGTGATGTTCCTGTTATCGTGGAAACGTGAGAATAGGATAGAGCAAGAAAATGGGGTTGGAGGCAGTGCCTTCCTCTAGGTCTAATGTTTCCATCTCTTGGGCTTTTGCTGTAGGTTCAGGGACCTGTTATAGTAGAGGATACCTGCCTGTGCTTCAATGCCCTGGGGGGGCTTCCAGGACCGTACGTGTAAGTAAGAGGGCATTTGCTTCGCCTTTCGTGTCGTAGAGTTAGGAGCGCAGGCTGGCAGGGTGTGCTTCACGGGGGATTTTCCACACACCAGGAACAATAGGGTCAGGGAGGTGATTACTGATCTGTATCCTCAGCTTCATCCTGCACCCCAGGGGCTGGACTTGAACTCCTTGAGCCCTGCTGTAAGTCACGGGGCAGGACAAGAGAGACAGACCCAAATTGTTGTCTCTGGCTCCCGATCTATGGTGCCTGCTCTTGCAGCCAGCTTGGGAACCTGGCCCCACAGTGGGCTCTGCGTAGTTAAGGCACCATGCATTCAGGACTCTGGGATGAGGGTCCTATAGGTGCTCATAGGGAGTGCTTTAATCCAGCAGATAACAAGGTTATCACATTACAGTGTAACTCCTGTAATAAAATACTGCCTTAGCTCCTGGAGTTAATTTTTAGTGTGATTAATTCTTCCAAACTGTCTCTGCTGACCTAAACAGAGACATAAAAGCTTTATATGATGAAGCTGGCACTAGAACGAGGTGTAAGATGTGAACAAGTTGAGTTGAGAAATGTATTTCGACATGTCAGTGCTCACGAGTGGGAACTGGGTTATTTACATAGACCCCAGTACTGCAGTAGATTAAATACCCTGCTGCTGTTTTCACTGTGTCCCATTCAGTTTAAGACCTAACTCTGTCATTATTGGTAAATAGTCCAGAATGAGGTGATCTGACAGCACATTTAAGAGGGATTCAAAGGGCTATGAAAATGTAGGCAACAACGTCTCAAGGATGCCTGTATTTCTGAGAAAAAATAGCAAAAATTAATCTTTCCTCTCTTCTTCCTCTTCAGAAAATGGTTCCTGGAAAAACTCAAACCAGAAGGTACTGCCTCCCGTGTTACTGCTCTGCATGTAACTCGGTCCTTTCCAAATGAAATGGATCCCTGCCTGTGCTGGGTTCTGCTGACCGTGCTTGCCCACCGTGCTGCCTGTTTCATAGCTGGTTCCTTTCCTGTCTGTCCAGCTCTGTCCCTTCGCATTCTCTCCTTGAGCCTGTTCTGTGCCCTTCTTCACGGGATGTTGTTTCCCCCAGTAGCTTCAGAATCATCCCTGGATTCCCAGACTCCTGCCTCTGCAGGCTGGTGGCAGGGCTTGTGGGAACTTCTTGTTTGTCACCAGTGTGACCTGGAAGACCTGCTGCTCCCTTTGGCTTCTGTGCAAGCCCCTCTCCACTAACGCTCACTTCCCTTGGCATGCAGTGACTTGCCTTTGATCCCGCGGTTAGGAGTGTGACTGCAAATCCCGCACTGGCGTCACAAGCATGAGTGTTAACCATGCTAATTCAGAGTGGGCTTTAGTCCTCTCTGGCACTGCGCACTGGTTTGCTTCCACTCCCAAATTAATAGCGGGGCCCTGCAGCTCACGCTGTGTTAGATCTGAGGCCCTGGCTTCAGTCATACAAGGGACTGGGCCAAGAGCATCCTTGTGGCTGAGCTTTGCCACCCCCTGTAGTTCTTCCTCTCCCTTGTGGGTGTGAATGCAGAACGCTCCCTCGATCCGTCTCTAGGTGGGTGTGTTGCGCTCCGAGGGAACGGCAGTAACGCCGGGATCCTTTCTGTGTCGCTCAGGCCTGTACAAGCTCCTGGCTGGGTTTGAAGACAAATCTGCCTACGCTCTCTGTACCTTTGCGTTCAGTACTGGAAACCCAGAGGAGCCAGTGAAGCTCTTCAAAGGCCAGACTCATGTAGGTGGTGTGCCTGGGAAGGGAAGATGCTGAGGGGGAGGGCTGTAATGTGAATTTCATAACGGCATTGGCTCTGTTGAGGACCCCGGGTCATTGAACGCCCCTGGGTCTTCTCCATGTTGGGAACAGGCTGAGGGAGAGCGCAGCTGGTGGGCGGTGGGTGCTGAATGCTGCAGCCCTTTCGCCTGTACGTACCAAACGCTTTGCACGTTACCTCAGGCTCTTCAGCCCCCTCATCTCCCTCTGGCAGGGTTGTATTTGAGTGCAGTTGTTAGCTCTGTTAATTGGGGGGGGGTAAAGGGGCTGTCAACATAGGGCAGCGTGATGGAGCACTGAGTTTGGGACTGCTAATTTTGTTTACGTCCTGGGAATGGGGACAGTACCCCATACTGAGCCTTTGGTGACCACGCGTGAGCTGTGGCTGCGTGTAGCTCTTCAGTCTGTGTCTGAAATGCGACTGTGAGGGAAGTGCTGCAGAACCACAGCCTGCGGGGCTTTTTTGCTTTCTCATGGCAGGGGCTGATAGTGGAGCCCAGAGGCCCTCGAGATTTTGGCTGGGATCCCTGCTTTCAGCCGGACGGCTACAACCAGACGTAAGTGGTGTTTTACCTACGGCTCTTTATGTAAGGAAAGCCAGGGTTGAGGTTGCCTGTGGAGAGGAACCTGCTTACGAGGAAGGGTGGCAGGGAGAAAACGCCCTCCTGGATCTGAACGTGGTGGGTTATGGGGAACCCCCAGGTCAGGATGAGGGTTGTTGGCTTTGCCAGCGTGCCACTACAGACGCTATAGTTGAGCAGGGAGACGGCGAGCAGAGGGGGAGCTCTTGGTGACTGGGGGACGTGTGCCGTAGCGTCTCTGCTGCTGAGACTTGTGCTTTCTCTCCCCTCCAGTTACGCCGAACTGCCCAAGGCAGTGAAGAACTCGATCTCGCACCGTTACAGAGCGCTGAGCGAGCTCTCCGCTTTCTTTCTTCAAAGCAGCTCGACAGAGCCCTGCTCTGGTCCCAGCTAGCCCCCCTGGGCTGCGGGCACCCGCTGTTGTCCGTGTCGCGTACCGCCCTGGGAGAGCTCTGCTCCGCTGCGGGCTGACATTAAAGCTGCTCTTTCTGAACCCGCCGGATTGCTTTAGAAAATAATAAATTCAAGGATAACTTGTGACTGATCTCAAAGCTCACTGTTAAAAATTCTTCTGGATTCTCTGAAATACTTATAACAACTTTTATTAGATTATATTCCTGACAAGGAATGTACTTTCTTGGCCGTAAAGCAAAGCTGTGGCGGTGGGATACAAACCCAGTAGACGGGGAATCGAAGCAGCCGGTCTGTTCGCTCTAGGCTTAGGCTGGAGTCCAGCAAAGCTTGTTTTAAACATGGCACTAATTGGAGGGCAAAACTAATCACATGAAAATTTCTAGCTCTTTCAGGGAACCTGTGAGTACCGAGCTGCTTCAGCCAGCTGTATCATGAACTTGCTACGCTGCTCAGTGGCACTCGCTTAGAAGCTTTTTTGCCTCTTCAGTTACAGTATCTTGCCATTACCGTGTTTGGTGTTCAGCTGCAGGGTTCTCCGGGCACTCGCTTTCACATGCCGATGCATCGGCCTTAGGTCTGTTCTTCGTATCAGTAGTGCCAGCCCCTGGCTGGTGCAATCGTAATATTTCTCAGTTTAATTTCAGTAGAGATAGTTTAAAACTCTCACGCTAGCTAAGGATATTGACTGTCTGGATTGGCTTTTTCATTAGGACAATTCTTTAACTGTAAACTGAGTTTCTGCTAATTTTCACACCAGTCTAGAATCCGCCTCCTGGGCGGCGAGCTCTGTGCCGCCGTCCTGCGCTGACGCAGGCGATGCGAAGCCCCCGGTGCGCCGTAGCAAGAGAACAGGAGAGACCCGCGAGTTACCCTGGGACGGGGAGCTCCGGGGGTTAAAACATCCACGTCATCCCCGAAAGAGATGCAGCAGATGCATCGCTTCTGTGCCCCTGTGACTTTTCTATATGGAAGTCTTATCTTAGGGCCCCGGAGAGTGGGTTTGCAGGTGCCGCGGGTGTGGTTGTCACAGAAGGCTCGCGGCTGTGGCTGATATTTGCTCGTAAAATGCTTTGGGGCACGTTTCCAGGGCGTTCTCGCCATCATGCCGCTCTTGTACCGCTCCCCAGGTTCTGGTGGTGGGCTGCGGGAACTCGGAGCTGAGCGAGCAGATGTACGATGTGGGGATGTGCGAGGACATCGTGAACATCGACATCAGCGACGCAGTGATCCGTCAGATGCAAGAGCGGAGCGGGAGCAAGCGGCCGAAGATGAGCTACCTGCTGATGGACATGCTTCAGATGGACTTCCCTGACGCCCACTTCCAGGTGGTCCTGGACAAAGGCACGCTGGATGCCGTCCTCACCGACGAAGAGGAGGCCACTCTAGCCAAGGTGGACAAGATGTTTGCTGAGATCAGCCGGGTCCTGCAGGTAGGAGGGCGCTACTTCTGCGTCTCCTTGGCTCAAACCCATGTCCTGAAGAAAGCGGTGAAATACTTCTCCCAGGAAGGCTGGGTCGTGCGTGTCCATCAGGTGGCCGGCAGCGGGGACAAGCAGCAGTTTGTCCTACCAGTCTTCGTCTACGTCATGACAAAGTTCAGGAAGATCCCTGGCTCAGCACCGCAGATCTTGGAGATCTGCCCGGAGGAGCAGGACAAGCCGATGCGGGTGGAGAGCGTGGAGCGGCTGGTGGCGGCGGTGAAGGACAGGCAGCATTACGCCCTGCTCTGCAGCCAGCTGAGCAAAACCCCCTGCGGGGAGCAGGTTTCCCTGGATCTGTGTGACAAAGAGAGTGGGAGGCCTCGCTACACGCTGCATGTGGTTGACAGCCCCTCGGTAAAACCTTCCCGGGACAATCACTTTGCCATCTTCATCAGTGAGTACCGCCTCTCCTGCCTGCAATGAGACGGTGCTCTGGCCAGGAGCTGCAAAACAGCCAGCAGTCCTGGCCCTGCTGAAATCAGGGCTGGAGAGGGAAGTAACCCACCTGTGCAGGGTTTGGTTGATGTTTTAGTCCTGGCTTTGCGGTGGGACATGTGTTTGCCTGATGGTGCAAGCAGCGATCTGGCACAGAGCTTGCTGGCTGAGCGGATGCCCATCTGGCAGCAGAGGGACACTGCCTGCCCTGCCTCCAAGGTGGTGATTCCTGCCTTGGTGCTGGTGACAGCCACTGTAAAGTGTCGCTGCATAAAGCCAGAGTGCAGCGGACGCAGCTGGAAAGGCATCTCTGGTCTGCGTGGGCGTCCTGACTTGCCAGGGCCAGGTGGCTTGGGGCCGCGCTTCGCTTTTGTGCTTGCACCTCGAGGACACGTGTCGGGCTCTGGCAGCAGCACTGTTCCCTCCCTGCGCGCCTGCAAAGCTGGGGCTTAGCACAGCCTGGAGACGGGTCATGAGGCTGTTGGACGCCCCCTTCTTATGAGGCGTGGCTTTTCCAGCCTCCTGCATGAGCCTGCCCAAAGTGGGGAAGGTCCTGGCTCTCTTGATGGTTGCAGAGCATGGGTCTAGGCACGCAGTGGTACCTCCTCATGATGTCTTGCCATTTCCTGCGGCTCCTCTCTTGGAGGCTGGGGTGGTCGCTTGGGGACCAGGACTGTCCCAGGCTGATGGCAGCCCCTTCTGCAGTCCCGCAGGGCAGAGAAACCGAGTGGCTCTTTGGGATGGAGGAAGGGCGGAGGCAGCTGGCCACCAGCGCGGGCTTCGGGCGCCTGGTCACTGTGGCCCTGCACAGGGAGCAGCACTACGAGGGCATGGCTGGCATCCAGGCGGAGCTGTCAGGGAAGGTGATGGAGCTGGCCCCGCCGGGCCTCCCTGCCCGGCAGCAGGTGAGCCCCACCGCCCGGCCCCCTCACTTGGCTTCCCCAAAACTGGGGCCAGGCTGGCTCTCCGCCAGCAGCAAGTTCCCTCTTCTTCAAGGGAGATGAAGCTGCAGTGTGTGAGCTGGCTGCCTTGGTGGGGAGGAGACTGGCCTCAGGTGTAGCTTCTCTCGGTTTTCCCTCCAGCTGGCTGCCTTTGCTTGGAGGCAGGATTTGAGGTGCATGTGTGGCAGGATTCAGTGTGAAGTCCTTGCCCTCCAAAACCCAGCATTCCAAGAAAATCAGGCATCCCGAAACCCTAGAGCATCTAGCCCCTTCTTAATCCTGGCTTTAACTTCTCCTGTCCCTTCTGTTTCCTTCTTCCTGCCCCAACTTCCCAAATCTGAGCTCTTGCAAGAAGTCCTGGGGTGTTTGCTCCCTGTACCCCAAGACGTGTATGGGAGGGAAGCTGGTCTCCCATGCGCTGGTCCCCAGCTCCCCTGTGGCTGCCTACAGCATATCCTGCTGCTCCTGCACTGTGTCCGCTTTGTCCCGGCTGTTTAGCCGTGGTCAGGATAGCGGGAATGCCAAGGTCTGTTCCTGTGGCCTTTTCTTCCTCACACCAGTCCCTGTCCTCCCTGCAGGTGCCCTTCCTGTCTGTGGGAGGGGACATCGGGGTGCGGACAGTGCGGCACCGTGACACCAGCCCCCTGAGTGGGGAGTATGTCGTGGAGGATGTGAAGGGGGATGGCACCTGCTACTTCCGCCGCCTCGTCTTCCTCTGTAACAGGAACGTGGTGCAGTCAGAGGCTCGGCTCCTGGCCCGCACGCCTCTCACAGGTATGTGGGGCAGGTGAGGCAGCCAGGAAGGGGCAGGGGCCAAGGGTGACTTTTTGGTGTGGCAGAGTGAGATCGATACAGGAGGAAGATTAAAAGTCCTGCTGGGATCTGCCTGCCTTGTCCCAGAGCAGCTATGGGAGTGTTTTATACTCTGCTGCTTGCCTTGGGGGTGGGACAGGCTTTGGGGGTCTGCAGAAAGCACCCCTGTCTCCCACCATGCCTTACCAGCCGATGCCTCCTGATGTTCAGGCCAGAAGAAACGGAGGAAGGACAAGAAGAAACCCAACCCCACTGAGCCACCTGCAGCCATTGACAAGAGCTACCTGTGTTGCGAGCACCACAAAGCCATGGTCGCAGGGCTCTGCCTGCTGGGGGGCCCTGACCCCGTCCCAGGTAGCAAGGCCGGCAGTGGGAGGCTGTGCGGGGGGCAGGTGTGCGTGTGTCCCTATGCCACAGCTCCTTGGGGAAGGGCTTTCCTGGCCAAGGTGCCTCATGCACCCTTCCTGAAGCGGTTTGGGGCCGGCGGGTGGGACGAGCAGTGGGAGCGTGGCCATCCTGGTGGCTCATTGGGTGCTCTCCATTGGCAGGAGCCCTGCTGGCGGTGCTGGTGGTGGGACTCGGTGGGGGCAGCCTGCCCCTCTTTGTCTGTGGGGGCCCGGGGGGGGCAGCCTGCCCCTCTTTGTCCACGACTACTTCTCGCAGGCCCGTGTGGCTGTGGTGGAGATCGACCCCTCCATGCTGGAGGTGGCCACGCGCTGGTTCGGCTTCTCCGAGGGCGACCGGATGCGGGTCCACATCTCTGATGGCCTGGACTATGTGGCCAAGCTGGCGGCTGAAGGTACCATCTTGCAGAGCATCCCGGGTGCCCCATCAAGCCCAGTGGGTGACATGCTGGGGACAAGAGTCCTGGGCTGCTTTCACCCTCTGCTTCCCATCCCTGCCCATCTCCTGCCATGTGTCATGAGCTCCGGCCTTGCCAAGTCTCTGCAGTTCACAGGCCTGCCCTTACCAATGTGTGCAGGGAACCTTAGATTTGCTGCCTCCCCCAGCACTGAGGGGTGCTGCCGTGGGTTTCCTTTGGAAAGAGAAACCCCAGGAGAGAGAAGCAGCTCTAACATGGCAGAGGGGATGTCTTGACCACCCCATTCGTTGCCTCCCCACCATGTGTGGCTCACCTCTGTCCCATGGCATAACAAGTCTCTGCGCTCCCTCCTGCAGCCCCAGCCCAGTACGACGCCATCATGTTTGATGTGGACAGCAAAGACCTCACGGTAGGGATGAGCTGCCCACCCCCAGCCTTCGTGTAAAAGCCCTTTCTGCAGAAAGTTAAAACCATCCTCAAGCCAGAAGGTAGGAGGGGACATCCGACTGTGTCCCTGCGGCCAGGCTGGCCGGTCCTGTGCGAGTAATGGGGCTCTGCCACTGTTTCTCATCCTGGAGAATAGCGGCTGCGG